GGCTTGGAGCAACCTGATCTAGTGGAAGGTATGCCAAACCAAGGCAGGGGTGTTGGACCTAGATGATCTTTAATGTCCCTTCCAATCCAAACTATTCTATGAAAAATAGAAAGAGAAGTCTGTAGCAATTTCAGAAGACCACCTTTTGATAATACAAATACTATGCATGCATATATTTTTTAAAAAGGGAGAAAGGATACAAACATACTGTAAAATATTTCTACACTGGACCAATAGCAAGAAAAGTAGTCACGATTCTGGATTCCAAGTATCCAAAAGAAAACATAAACTGAGAGATGTTTAATGTAGTTAACAGTAAGCTATCGATGACTGACTATAAAGCACTTCCTTCTTCCAAGATCCTGCCAGAGAACATCAGACACCACACCTGAAAGCAGACACTTGACTCAGTACCCTGTTTTTCTTCTCTGTTCTATTTTAAATGGCTTATAGTGATGCAGACAACACACAAAAAAAAAAAAAAAGGAGACTGTGTTTGCAATTACCATTTATTACAAACATCAACAGAAAATGCAATTTAGTTTTGCAGCAGTAAAAACCAAATCCATCCCTTCACTACACTCAGAAGAAAACTACCTTGCCAAATTCCAAGCACGTTCTTTGTCTATGAAATGGAATTTTGAGGAAAATCCTTCAGGATATTTCAAACATACAGAAAAATATAATATATCTTGATAGAGCATACCTACTTACAGCACATTAGAGACAATTCTGTAAGGCTACCTGAAAAAGACTTCTCCCTTCATACCGTCCACCACCGCAGTTCAGTTTCTGCTAAAATTGCCTATCAAACGTGAAATTCAATTACGGTAAAGCTTACTAAACTCTGTAAGCTGTAACTTGCCCTACAAACAGGTTATTAACATGGAGGTCCTGATCGTGTTTTACAGCAGTGACACAAAACCTCAACAGACATGAAAAAAACTGTAGACCACCTCATGGATTTTAAACTGATTTTTGTAATTGAACAAACAAAGAAGAACGGGGTTTCGTTCTCAAAAGAAGAAAAACAAAGAAGTCTCAACAAAAAGGCCACAACTGAAACTCCATGCTGCTCCATTATTTACTGTGCTGTTTTATGATCTGCATTTTCAGAGGAAGGGTTCTGCAAGGCTTGGAGGGAAGCGGAGACACTCTCCAAGCAGCTGGCGCACTGGACCACCACGGTGGAGGAGGCACACGCCACAGTGTCACCACAAGAAGGCACCTGGACCAGTGTGAATGGAGCAAAGTGCCAGCACAGCAGCACCCAGCCGCCCTGCATCTACCAGTGCTCTTCAGCCTCCCAGTTTAAGAGTGACACACCTGCCTCAGTGGTTTGTATCTTGGCTTGAAACAACAAGTTTTTGTCTGTGTGGCAGCTTCTAGGGGAGGACTTTTCTGTAACCCTTGAGACCAAAATGAAAAGTCTCCCAGCAGAAGACCTGCAGCATAATTAAAATACCCCTCACAAACTCCTACCTCAGATTTGAAAAAAAACACTGCAATGAGAAACACTGATCTTGCTAGGACTGTCTGTGCTAGTAGGTTCATCGCTTTAAATGCCAAAATTTGTTTCTGGCTACTTATCAGAGTCAGTATAATTTATATTCCTTATAAGTTCTTTTTATGGAATTTTAGAATTCTTTGCACCAAAAATTCTGAATTTGCAATCAGATCACAATCGCTGGTTTCTATCAAAACTGAATGCATGAGCAGCAAGTTGGTGGTAGCTATCAAAAAGAAACAGGTCTTATTAGGTTCAACGACAAACCACAAAGAAAGAAATGCAAGTTACTTATATAAGAAATACACATCCCCTAGGAATAAAAGCATTTTAAACATGTCTCTAATAAAAATATTCAAGAAAATAAATTACATGAAAATAAAAAATAAAGGGCAATGTAAAATTTAAGAAGCCTACAAGCCACTTCTACTACTTCAATTATTAAGATACTCTTTTGAATGGAGAATTAACTCCAAGTATTAAGCCAGTACTTTGTTACTCTGATGCCACCCAAGGTCCACAGCCAGCACTTTCCGGAAGGCTGTCCATGACCAGTGTGATGGCTTCCTCTTCATCATGAGCTTGCTTGCAAAGAGGTAGAGAGTTCCTGTGTATAATGTCTCCCCATTCACTAGAAGCAAGCACATTCATGCTCATATTACAAAACTGCCCTGCCATTTATTGATACTTTTTTTAAAATGCTTGCATAATATATCTACATTTTTGTAATAAGGAATTAAAGTCTGTTTAAATAGTCGAGAGTCCTCCCTCAGGCAACCCAAAACAAGTAATATTCATTGTCTAAATAATTCCTTGCCAAGATTCACTGAAGATCTCTATCTTCCTTCTCCATATTCTCCCTGAATGCAAAAGAAGATCAAGTGCACATTTATAGACTCGACAAACACTGATTACCCCTCACCCTAAGCTTTAATGAGGATGACTGCACAGCTGGCTTCATCCACTTAGATGTGAAACAGACAATAGTAATAAAAAATTAAAGAGAAAAGCAAATGGCAGTTCCATCAAGAAAGAGATGTTAGTAACCAGACCTCTCTTCCTGACCTATAGAGACCTACTCTCAAAACCTATGTGTTCAATATGGTACAGTATGTTAGTTATATGATGACTAGATGTTAGAGACTGCATCAGATGTCTTCCAGCATCCCACTACTGAAAACATAATTACTTAACTCACTAATCCATCAGGCAACAAGGGAGACTGCCTTTGCTATAGATGCAATCAACACAGCCCAACAGATGGTGGCTGTTGGGTATGTTCAAGTAGGGGAAGATATTCCAAGACAGTCACTTTAAAGCAAAATTACACAGACAGTGCTTCACAGATTAGGGTTTTTTTTCATGCAAACATAAAAAAAATTAAATAAATACGGTAACAGTCTCAAACTGAAACTCAGGTGCATGTGAGTTACTAAGGATCTGAATTCTCAGGCCACGGGGTGTTCTTCAACAGAAAAGATATCCCTCTTCCTTGAGGGGGTGGGGAGGAGGAGTGAACCATACCATAGCAGGTACTAGAAAGAAGCCTCAAAAAAACTACCAGAAATAAAACACAAAGATAAACCTCAAGTAAGAACATTTTTTTATTCTGACTGCTATTTACAAGAAACCTGAAACCATACACAAAAAAAAAAGTTTCTTAGAACTACAGTTACCGTTTTTTATCCTTATTCTGAACAGAATAGGGCACTGTGGAGAGCAGTCAAGTATCTCTCTTGTCACATCTCTTTAAAAATCTTTAAATAATATCAAAATAGAAAACGTACACTCAACTATTTTTCATGCAAGTAAAGCAAACCAAAAATCAAACCAAAACAAAGATGAAAAATGAAATAAACCTTCGCAATTACTGAGCAGTATGGACTAATGATTTCTGGTACCCCTGCATCTGAAACACACTGCACATGTTTCTGAGTTTACTCACACATGACCAGTTCTTATTCTAACTCAGGAAAGCAGGACAAAATTCCTTCTGTAAAGATGAACATCATTTCTCTAAATCACTCACTGAAATAAGCCATATCCCTCTAATACTTCCAGCCTGGGCAAGAGAGTAAGGATTTACATTTCAACTAAGCAGTCTGAGAAGTTGTTTAGGTTGCCCAGATGCACAATTCAAAACCTGCCCTCCCCCCTTGTAACACTCAGTTCTTTAGGAACAGTTAAACAAGCTTTAAAAAGGGGCAGTGTACTGGCAAAAAAGATAATTATCTGGATCAGGGGATAAAGTGCTCCCTCAGTAAGCTTGCGGACAGCACTAACTTGGGTGAGTGTCTCCATCTGCCTGAAGGCAGGAAGGCACTACAGAGAGATCTGGACAGGCTGGCTGACACTTTCATGCCTGTGGTATGATCTTCAACCAAGCCACATGCTGGGTCGTGCATCTGGGTTACAGCAACCCCAGGCAATGCTACAGGCTTGGGGAGGAGTGGCTAGGAAGCTTCCCAGTGGGAAAGAACCTGGGGGTGTTGATCAATAGCTGGCTGAACATGAGTCAGCAGTGTATCCAGGTGGCCAAAAAAGCCAACAGCATCCTGGCTTCTATCAGAAATAGTGTTGCTAGCAGGACTAGGGACCTGTACTCAGCACTGGTGAAGCTGCACTTCAAGTACTGCGTTCAGTTTTGGGCCTCTCACTACCAGAAAGACATCAATGTGCTGGAGCATGTCCAAAGAAGGGGAACAAAGCTGGTGAAGAGCCTAGAGCACAAGTCCTGTGAGGAGCAGCTAACTTGGGTTGTTTAGCCCCGGAAAAAAACAGGATAAGGGGAGACCATAACACTGTACAACTACACTGAAAAGAGGTTGCAGCGAGGTGGTGCTGGTCTCTTCTGCCAGGTAACAAGCAATAGGAAAAGAGCAAACAGCCTTAAGTCATGCCAGAGGAGATTTAGGTCGGATATTAGGAAAAATTTCTTCACTGAAAGGGTTGTCAAGTAACAGGCTGCCCAGGGAGCTGGTTGAGTCACTATTCCTGGAGTTATTTAAAAGACACGCACATGTGGTGCTCAGGGACATGGTTTAGTGGTGGATTTGGTAGTGTCAGGTTTGCAGTTGAACTCAATGATCAAGGCCTTTTCCAACCTAAGTGATTCTATGATAAATAAAAAACATGCATTAAGAATCATGTAAGATACCATTCACCAACTGGGTAACTTACCATCTTTGTTCAGCCATTGTTTTCTTTGTCTGTAGAGAAGAAGTTTATTGTGGACATATGGCAAAAGAAACTTGACACACCAGCTCTCCACACCAAGCTTGTTTTCTACCAGGACAATAGGGCTTCGGTTATACCTGGCTTCAGGGCAGGGTATTAATCCAATTTCATCTCTTAAAAAAACAAAACAAAACAAAACAAAACAAAACAAAAAAAAAAAAAGAAAGAAATGTAAATTAATTTATTTCCAGTAGATGTCAATTATTTTTCTCAGTAGAGTAGATGAGCATTGCTTCCCACCCAGTCAGCCTATCATCTTTTTCCCTTCTCTTCCCAAAATCTGTATTCATTGTCCTCAATTCACCTTCTTGTTTCTTACCCAACTGCAGCTATGATAAAACACATTTTTAGAAAGCCATCCTCTGCAAAACTCATATGGTGTATTAACTTGGCAAATAAATGATTCAAACATGTTTTAAGGCATGAAGACTTAAGTTGAACAAAAAAAGTATTTGATGATACAAATACAAAAGTATTTTACCTCTATACATTTATTCAGACACAATAAAATGCCAGTCATGGTTTTGAGTTTTGTTATTAGTTCCCCAATGCTGTAGTGACAGGAAAACTATAAATATTTTAACACTTGAAGACTCTGGAATTAATAGGCATGATTAGATGAGCCAGAATGAATTTTAAATCCTTTAAATGTTCTCTAGGAAGATTTCTTCTGGTGATTCTGGCTCTTCTCACCTTATGATAATTTGAAAAGTTTTATTAGGTTTTCCAAAGATCCTAAAAGAGGAAGGTTCTTTTTTTGTAGTTTTAGATTATCTCCTAAGCAGTTTAACTCAGCTTAATTAACACAAATACATATGGCTCTGTGATGGAGATGTGATGGAGCTGTAAGAGCTGCTGCTGCAAGGGGAACAAATCACATTAACCAGTTCAGGCACCTAGCTGACCCGAAGCCACCCAGGTGTGCTCCGCAGCACCGTGACCACATGTAGAAACCAAAGATCATGTAAAAGAAAATCACAGACAGCAACGTGCGTCTTTCCACGACGCATTTTCCCTTCCTCTATGCAAGGCAGCCTGTTGAATAGGAGGAAGACTTGAGACACAGAGGCCAGTCTGATTAAACTTTGTATGAGAGGCTATAATCAAGCCTTTAAAAAAAAAAACAAAAAAAAAACCACACAATAAAACCCACACCACCAAACAGTGAGGGTCACAAAAATTCACAACAATGAGCAAAGCAGAAAAGACTCAGTTATTCAGTTTCAAAGAGCCATACTGTATTTTACATTTTCCTCAGCTTCCTCTAGCATGTTGGGATGCTAGAAAAGCAGCTTTAACAGCTCCTTAAAAATAAACACAGACTGTCAACGATTCACACTTGTTTGGACAGAAAGCAGCATCATTTTATACATGCCATTATGCATGACATCTCCATCAACTTGTGTTTGGTGGAGAATTCTGTTGCTGAGGAGGGAGATCCTCAGATCTCAAGCAGGAAAAAAAAAAAAGACCTCTTACAACCTCAGACAAAAACTGAATTCTCCACCTTAAATCTTCTCAATACAAGGTGTACAGATACAGACCAAGTGTCGAGCCCAGAACCTTAACTCAGTTACCTTAAACTTATTTTATTACTGGACAATCTGAGTATACTGAATTGGTTCTGTCTTCTCACCAGCTTATTACTGAAGTAATCAAAAGTGACATCAAGTGCTTGTTTAAGAATATACTTGCTTCTTCAGAAAACAGATTTCATTTTCTATACAACACAACATACATCACGAACCACAAAGAGCACAAGTAACTCAAGGTAAGATATTTCCAAATCACTTGTCTGTCTCCAAACACACACCCAGGTCTCTTCCCCATCCCTGGTCATCTGAGAACAGAGGAAAACCAGAATTTTTCTACCTGACCAATTGCAAACAATGAGTATCAAAGCAAAAACCTTATGTCTGTTGCTCCACTCAACACAAGTTAATTTCTTCAGAAAGCTACTCAGGTTAGACCTAAAATGACATTCCAGTCTGCTTCATTTCAACATGGTACCTTATAGCCAGAAGTTTGCACCTACTGCTGTACTTACTGTACTCGTTTCTCTTACAAATGTTAAACCCAGTCCTCGGCCAAGCTTTGCCTGGCTTTACATATAAGGACATACAGCTCCCAAACAAGGAGAGAAAAAAAAATCAACCCAAACGTACATCCACATCCTCACTTCTCACCCAGCACAGAAAGTCTGACTCAGGTGAGCTAGGTTGCACGACACTGCTTTAAGCATGCCAAAAGGACAGGCAGACAGGGTTTGCATGGAGATCAGACAACCTGAAACACTCCAATTCCAGGGTGCACTCAGCTAACCAAAATCGGCAGAGGACCAGGCCACCGCGTAATGAAATTCAGCAGTGTCCAGTGCAACACAAAAAACGGGCCACCTGCAACCACGTGGCTTTTGCCAAGGTGTGAACGAGGACTTGTCATATGGTAGAAGTGTCGTCTGCTGCATCTTGGTGTTGTTTTTGATGATCTGTATGTTTCAGAAATTTTATGTTGCATTCAGTTCCTGAGAAGGAACAGAATTCATGATGCAAAACACCAGGAGGGCAGACACCTGTAAGGTGGGATGCCTGTCTCAAGACCAAAAAAATACATTCCAACCACCACCTATTTCTGCTCCTAAAGGCCCACCAGATCTACAGAAGGAGGAAGTAACAGGGTAGGTCTGTGCCAGCCCAGGGGACACTGAAAAAAAAGCAGCCTTTGCTCATTGCATAGCCACAGAAAGCTTCTGCTTTCTGCAGAAGAGACAGAACCAATTCAGTATCTGAATTTCTCCTGCACTGGCATGCAGGCACTGCTGAAGGAGCGGTAGTAAAGTTGACTGAATTTGCCCTCCTCTTGTGCAAACAGCTCCTGGCCCCGTGACAGAAGACATGGCTGCTCCTGTGACAGGACTCTCAGGCCCACGGCAGGGCACAGGACGGCCACATCTAGGTCAAGTGACAGATGCAAGCTGCTCACAGGACTGAAGGAGACACTAACTGAGGGCTGCTGTTTGTCAGTATTGTGTATCATCAGAAGCATCACCTAATACAAAAGTAAGATTTAATTTACCTCCCTAGAATTCCCAGTTTTCTGTTCTTGAATTTTAGGAACCATTTGGTGCTTTTAAATCTTTTTCCTCAAAGCAAGCACGACAGTCACATTTCCAAAACCGCTAAATTATCTCTGTATTTACAAGATACCATGCTTGTTCACTTTCCTAAAAAACACCATGAAAGCAGCCAGAACTTAGTGGAACACTTTTAGCTGGCTTGTCATGAAGACTGCAGCCATTACAGAGCTTCTTTAACCTATGCCAAGACCAGAAAAGATGTGCAAGACAAGACCCAGGAAACCATGGAGCTGCACAACCCAAACCTGGTCCATAGTGCAAACCTCAGTCATTGCAGGACAGCACTGGCAAGCTGCTGCAGGACCTGTTTCAAGAGCCCCAGTCTCTTGACTCAGCCATTCAATGACCCTCCCCAAAATAAACCTTACCCAACCTACTCCTAGGTTCTGAAACGATTATACAAAAATGTTCCCTCTTTTACAAAACCACAATACCACAGTACAGCTAGGGAAGGAGGCATTTCTTCCAATGTTACCGTGACAGGTCTTCAGCTTTAGGTACTTCATGTAGGACCTTCTCTGATGGTTTTGTCTGGAATATCATCTTTCAAATAGCCAAACCTACCCACAGAGTTAGACAGAGGTTATTAAATAATGGCTGGCAGAGCTGAATGAGATGCAGTCAGTGGATACAATGCAACTACGATTCAACTGACAATAAAAAGTGGACCTACATAACTAACTGTTTCTGCAATTATAAAAACCTTTTAATATCAAAAGACAATCCAGAGCGTAGACACTTAAAACATATATATTTTTATGTTAAAATAAGTCTCATGGAATGACTACACAGCTAATGAATATACAGCATTTAAAAAGGGAGGGAAGGGGAAGTCTAAGTCAAGGAATTGAAACCTCTTTTTTTCCCCACTTACCATATAGTGCATTATTTATACACGATTCTCTTCAGAGTTTAAAATAATAAATTAACCTGAACTTTCTGATTAAGCATTATCTTAGTGGTACAACCAGAATCTTCCAGAAATGAAAGAATAGCAATACACTACTGAAATCCAAAACACTTGTAGCCAATGCTTGATCCTACAGAAGTTATAAATATGTCACTTTCAGTCTCCAGGAGCTTCCTTTCATTTGCTCTCACGTTCATCTCCTGCTGCAATAACAAAGTTCTGGACTGATGACTCCCCTCACCAAGAATTACAAGCAAATTATTTTTACTTACTATTGGTGTACTTGGAAGTATCAGTGCTGCACAAAGGTCTCAAGCAACTCAACAAAAAGAACACTGGCAAGACAAATTTCATAACTGGCTACAGCAAAGACTTAAGGAAGTATCTTTCTTTCTGAATTCCTTGCAGAGAAATTTGCAATCACACGAGGATAAACCTTGATTCAGAGATTCAAATCTAACAAAATGAAGTGTGGTATTTCTACTACACAAAGAATGTGACTGAGACAGAAAAAAACCCCAAGCTACAGTGACACAACTCTTGGCAAAGCATAAGCAGTATCCTCAGATGTTGTACACAAATGCTGTGCTACCATCTAAGAGTTCATCTTTCCAATTATGCCCACCAAATTCATGCACTTTTTTGAAAAATGAGTCTGTTTCTGCTTGACTTTATGTGCCAAAGAACAGCAAAGTTCAAAAAGAAAGTATGCACCAGATCAGTGGGAAAGCTCACCTGTGTGGCCTTATCAAGACCTATGCTTGTACGACTGAGTAAAAATATCTTCCAGTAAATGGAAAACAAACATACTGACAGTTACCTGACTGAAGAAAATGGAGCTATCAGACACACGAGGAAAGAAGAATTTTGTGTTGTATATTTAGTTAGAAGTAAGCTCGCCTCAGAAGGATGTAGAGTCCTGCTGCAAATTTAAAGCAAAAAAAGAAAAACAAGAATCCAATGTTCTACTAAGTCTAAAAGTGTATTCTTCACATGCCTTTTAGTGTTGATCAGAGACAACATTCCCCTCAAAACATTCAAAACTGTGAACCTGCCAGAACACCCAT